TAAAGCAATCATAGAATTTTGAGTATTCCTTGAACGAGATCCCTCTTTACTGCGGCCGCTCCCCTTAGAGTTTTTGACATGAGGGGAGAAGGATAGCTAGGGTGTGCGTTGCTGTACCTCCAACGCATTCCGGACGTTAACAGCTTGTTGCCCAAAGCCTCGAGGGTTTACAGGCACAATGAGATGCCTTATCTTATAAGGCTAACGCTACCCTGCGATAAATGATGCGTACGCCAGGCAAAGCAAATTATGTAATTCTTTAGTATATCCTGATTAAATATCAGTAGTGCTGTAGAAAGTGCGGAAGCGAGACCCCCAAAGCATACAACTTCATAGAAAACTAATGGCTGACACTCAGACAGTCCCTATCTCCCTCTATTTATAGTACTCACGTCACAGGGGTCAGATACTAGAGAAGAGCTGGGCTGCATATTAGTGCGTCTGAGGCGTATGGACCCAGCTGCGCACAGAAACACATTTCACACACTCATTGCACGCATAAAGAGAGGACAGAATTTTACAGCAGCGAGGCTAAATTACTACCATTCATTCTGGTTAGTGTATGCAAAATAATGTTCAGTCCAAAGGAAATGTTCAAGGACAAATTCCCAAAGTGTATGTGCAGGGGCTACAACAAAATTTCTTATTGAACTTCGGGCTAAAAGTCCGCGTTTACTGCATTTTTTAGCTGGACATTCTTCCCTTTACCCGGTATTTAATATGCAATGAAAATGTTTCCCAATCCGTGATATACCTAAGCACACGCTTGTTAGCTGCAGCACTCCGGTCAACTGCTAAAGCCTCGAATTTGGGAAACGTCAGCCTGAGGCGGAGGAAGCGGTTTACACTGTAGCCGTGAAGGATCTCAATAAATCACAAGTGCATTGAATATGATGCGGGGAATACTGCTCTGTGTTCTCGCAGCAAGTAGCCTGCAGCAGACGTTGCAATAGCCATGCTGTTGCAGCAACGGCTGCAGGACGTTGGTACCATGCCCCATTGATCTTCTTTTGGGGATTCTTCGGATTATTGCGTCTGTTTCTGTCAACAAAATTTATGGAATGCTTTGATTCATAGAAAAGCAACAAGTCTGCCACGCAAGGTCAGGATACAGTCTTGGACTTCCATCGAGACAACCGGTGGCGCTACCGCAGAACAGAGGAGTAGCAGCAACACCAGGGAGGAGCACTGCTGGATTTTCTCTGAAACAATTTCAACTAATTGAAACCAAAGTCACTGCGATTTCACGATTAAAGGCATCAATGGAATAAACCTCCACAGGCTGCCGTTGCAGCTTAGGCTGCTGCTCGACCTTTCGATCACAGACTCACGTCTACTGTGCAGCTTTCTTCGAGCGCAGCCCCCGCCGACTTCACTCCACTTCACGCCCCTGGCGGCCTTGGAGCATCGGCGGAGGTCGGACGTTTCTTATGCAGCCAGCGTTGGCGACGACCGCGGTCAGAACCTTCGGACACCACGTTGCGCAGCGCAAGCAATCCACAGGAACGTCTACAGCACCACGTCCACTGGCAAACCCGAACCGAGAATGGCTGACTTTAAACTGAGGGAAGAAGAGCCGATCGGCGGCCGCACTATTGATGATCTCGTAGACGGAGTAGCCGAGGATCTCGGCCTCACACGAGAAGCCCATCTTGAAGTAAAGCTCCACCTGAGACAGAACTACATCCGATCTATCAAAGTAAGCACACAGCATTACAAACAGATATTTGCAGCTTAAATAATCGCAGACCGCGCTTTCTACTTTGGACAGACAATAAGGGAGCAGCCGCACCAGCTCCCCTTACGTTATACAGGGGAGGTCCGCCACATGTCGTGAATGTAGCAGCACTGCGTGGGTAGATAGGCACCAATGGCTGATACAAGAGCCGATCCCAGGAAATAGATCAAAGGGATGGATCCTTTGTTGGTCTGAGGTGCCTGTTCACGGTCTTCCTGCAAGCGTCTCTGCTTGTATCGCCCTGTGCCTCCTCACCACTTCGAGCGCTATCACTGTCACTAGTCACAGGGCTGTGCTTCCCCTATGGCAGCCAAAATGTTTTGCAGGCTCTCGAAGACGGCCTTAAAGACAAGAAGCTTTGTGGCATCGTCCATCCCTATGTGGCAGATGCATTGCTGAATCGCCTGTACAAAATACCGAATGAAACCTTCGAGGTCGACGGTGCGACATTTCACTTTTGTTGCAGCAGGAGAAAGTATACATGAAGCATTATCAGTTTCACTCCCTACAGCAGGCTGTTGCCAGTGTCCGTAGGGGTAAGCGTAGAAGCCGAGGAGATAGCTGGGTGTAACACCAAGTGGGCTTGTTGGGCGTACGGTGTCTGTTCTGTTGCAGTGTATCCGTCGTCCCGCCTAGTGACTCGAAATCCGACACACTTTAAGAATGTCGCGATTTTCGTGCACCGAGTGGCTCCAATTCCAGGGAGCAGCAAGGGAAAGCTGGGTTAGTTTCCCTTGCTCCTAGCAAAGCCTTGCAGCGCCTGCTGCCGTAGAACCGTGTAGCGCGCCTGCTACAGAAAATGAACTCGTGCCGTCAAGTTGCTGTGGTGATGCTGTGCACTGTGTTTTATGTTTCATGCCCCACGTTATGCGACTTCTTCCTCAAATGTTCTGCTTCTGCTTCAGCCTGTACCTGGGCGTTCGATTTGGACCCTGAAGAGTGCAGCGTAGCAGAGTTGAAGCGGCGTTTGGAGCTCCTGGCCTCTACTAGCAGCGAACGCATGCGTTTAGTCTTTAACGGTTTCACCTTGACAGCCACAAATGCGCTGGCAGAGTATGACATCCAAGGGGGAGATAGTCTCTATTTATACACTGTGAAAGATCCCAACGAAACGACGGTTATCTGCTGTAGCGGAGAGGAAACGCCTCACACCTCGGCTCCTGCGGCCCAGTGTTGCTGCTGCACCTCCCCTCCACATGGCGCTACTTGCTCCGCGGAGCCGTGCGTTGCGGTAAAGCAGCGACAGACTCTTCCTCTCTGTGAATGCGCAGCTGCTTGTTGCTGCTCCCGCGGAAGATGCACCCATTCGCAAACGCTCTTGGCTAAGCCCTACAGCTGCCACACCCAACGGTGTGTCTGCGGTCGTTGCGTAGCATTGGCTGTGTCCCCCATGAACAGACACTGCAAGATAGCTGCAGATATCGGACGGTGAGAAAGGGGGGAGCAGAGTACCCGACCGTCTGAATAAATGCAACTGTATACGCGTAGTCTCCTGCTCCACCCCCTGCAGCCGTTAAACCTCCCCAACTTTCTCTGAAAAAGAAGAGGGAGCATTTTCAAACCAGTGCCTACCCGAAACAACCTCAATGCTGTTTTTTTTGAAGACTTACAGTTTTTCTGATCTCAGTTCGCACGAAAATCTAGGAAATATGTGGCGCGTTTGCTACAAAACGCCTAGAGAGCTAGGTAGCCAGGAGCGCTCGTGTAGCATTTTGCTAACCCAGTATGCAATAGGGATTTAAATCTTAGTGACGGCCTGCACCACCTTGAAAAAAGGGGGTCCATTGCTGTGTCGTTGCAGTGTAGTAGATGCGGTGGTAAATGAACCCTAACTATTTTGATAGCTGATTTCCCAAGTGCGTATCTCCAACAATAAAAGTGGAGGAATGTTGTACAGAAGAGCAGGAAACTGAAGCGTATTTGGGGCTAGCAGTGGAGTGCCAGACAAATGGATTAGGGGAAGCAACACTGGGAGCGAAGAAGAGGAAAATGCAGCACTTGCGGTGAAAGAACGACCATAAATGACAACGAGAGGTTACACTTCCAAATGAATTAAAAGGTGACCCGACCCGCACACTGGGCATAAGAGTTTTCCGGTGTATGTTGCACGAGAGAGGAGACTGCAGTTCTGCCTAGCTTTCATCCTTTCCATAGATGGGTATCTCTGGATATGCGAAAGGATCCTGTTTCTTCTCCGGACGGTTGAGCACCAGAGGATACACTTCGCTAGGTTGGGGTACGAACGTCGGGAAAGGCAAAGGAATCTGACGATTGCGCTGGTGATGTGTCTTTCCCCGAGCATCGCTTATCTTTAGAACGGATCCCACACCACCCGGCACGCACCCTGTGCAACAACCGCAGCAAGAATAGTTGTAGTAAAACACTGACAAATGCCCGCTTGGATCAAGAAAGGAGAGCTCGGAAACCTCAAGCCACATATGCGGATGTATGCATGTCCGTCTATTTATCTGTTTTGCGAACTCGCCGTCTCTCTGGTGGCTCTCACCCTCCTCCACTCGACTCTGCCCCACCCGTCTCCGTATCCCTGCTCTATTCATTTGCCGACAGCTATTTCCACCCTTTCGGTGTTCTCTCGTGATTCTACCCGCGTGCCCTTCCCTTGCCGCCTCTCCCTGATGTGCGTTCAGGTGCCTCCTACTGAAAACGCGTGCCTGACTGACCCTTTAAGAAGATGAGGTTCCTGTCTGCTTGAATTCGCAGAACTTGACAATTAACCACTCGGGGATCGGGTCCGACGTGGCCAGCCATCTTTTTAAACTTCCATACGACGTTGACAGTCTTACTTTGCCCAATACTCCCGTGGGATCTGTGCGCCTTGCTTTCAGTGCCGTGGCTTGCATTCTGTCCTGCAGGAAGAAGAGCCGCAGCACCACGATAAAGAGTGCGATCCGCAGCAAAAAAGCAACCGCTGCACACGAACACCCGTGCGAGCAAAGGCAGCACCCACGAGAGCAGCAACAGCAGCAGAAAACACAGGCTCAAGGGCCGCATGCAAGGAACGGTACATTGCGCAAAACACACCTCTAAAACCCCATCTTTTTACGGGGCCCTGAAAGCCTTTTGGAATAGTCCACCCGGATACGAAGCACCACTGCCCTGGCACGAAGTGCAAGACGCTCAGTTCCTGGCCAGGGGGAAGCAGACAGTCAGAAGAGACCTACCGGACAGAGGCGCACATGAACTCGTAATTTCTGGAAGCCATGCAATTTTTGGCAGCCCTCCACGCCTTACGCGGGCGTCGGACGTTGCTGCCCACATGCGCGCCAGCGCAGAGAGGAAGGGGAAATTCGAAAACCAGAACATGCAAAGCGCAGGAAGAACGCACGGGCAAGACAGGCGCGCACAGGAATCGGGGTGACTCAAGACCCCTAGTGCAGCGACAACAGCACAGAGCCGTGAGAGAGGAGCACGCAACTCAAGCAAGCCACGTCCAAAGACACTGAGAAGGCGGGATCCGGGAGGGCAAAGAGAACGCAGGACTGGAGTCTGGAGCTCGAGAGGAGCACCTGGCATACGCAAATACCTCTATACGACAGCTACCTATATATACATATATATATGAGAACCACGCACACACATAAGTGAGGCACAGCAACACCGGCCCCAACGGGGCGACAACACACTTTGAATTCGGCAGTCACCGCCTTCGGTTCAATCCCTAGGGAGAGGAATTTGCACAAATTAGGACGCGATACTCGCAAGGGGGAGCGGTATCCTGCAGACACGCAGCATCGCCAGCGGGATGGTGCCAGACAGTCAGTGGTTGATCGAAGAAATCTCACCCCCACGTGAACGCTGAGAGACTACGCGCATGCGGCAGAAGCAGAGGAGTCCGCAGGCAGCCGCAGCGCACGAGCGTCCCCTCCAGCAGAGACTCTGGCATGAAAAGTGCCAGCCGGTGAGTGCAGGCGGCTCTTGCAGTCAAAGCGGCATGTAAATAAATTTATAAATATATACATTCGGAGGCAAATGGCAAGGCAGTGGCGTTTAAGGCCACATCGTGGTGTGCTGAAGTGCCTAGCCTACAGCGAGCGGCAATCCAGGTCAGGCATAGAGCTTCACGGAAAGGCAGTCGAAAAGACAGGAAAACAAGAAGAAGACGTTCTGAGCAGAGAATGCAGCCTCTGCAGCGCTGTCTCGCAGCAAAAGAGCAGTTGCATGCGCATTAATCAACAGGGGTTTTTCAGCATGCACAGGCAGCAGACCGTACCAAGGCCAAGAACGCAAGCCTCATAGCCGTGGGTGCTGAGCGTCTTCTGTTCCAGCACCACGCAGCGATCCACTTGACACACTGTCACCGCGTGTTGCTCCCCCCAGCCATCCCACAAAGACATCATTCCCACCTTGTACGCGAGCACTCCACACCTGAATTCCAGGACGCACTACGAGGGAGCGAACAGGGTGCACACATGTGGACGTGTGCAATGCGTGTTTCTCTCTCTATATGTGCGTGCGTCGTATATGCATGCATCAGCTCCCTACACGTGAAGCTCGACAGCTCTATACGAGCCTAGTGGGGCCGATGGTTTGGGGTGTAGCGAGACGCTACACACACACGCGAAGAGGCAGGAGGCAATAAAAGGCAAGCGGGGAGCAGAAACTCTCCCAAGAGGCAACAAGAGAGCCAAGATAGCCAGGCCCATAGAAGTTCAGCGGGTTATGCAAAGAGTAAAGCAGGATCGACTGGGGTGTACCGTCTGCTGTTCCAGGCCGGTGTAATTTGTTTCAAGTCGGGGTGAATACAGTCCAAGGATACAGCTCTTCCGCCCTCCAGTTCTGTCGCTGCATCGGCTGCGAAGGAGGCAGCAGCGGCAGCAGCTGGTCCAGCAGAAGCGAAGTCTTCCTCTGACGCTGCGGCAATGGACTCAGCCTTGCGATGGCCTTTACGGATCAAATCGTCGACTCTTGAAATCCACCGACTTCTGGAGCTGCTGCGCCCGATGTGGCTCCAAGGCCTCCTCCCTATGGGATTTCCATAAGGGCTGCTGCTGGAGTTGGCGATCCTCGTGCTGCTTGTGCTGCTGAATTGTCTTGCCCACACCTTGGGGATGCCTGGACTTCTGGGGTAGTTGCTGGCGCATCTGGAGCTGCAACAAGTGAAACGCGCTTCCTGAAGACGCGCCTGGCCGTGCGCAGCGTTCGTCAAAAGACTGCTGCCGCTGCTGCTGCTGCTGGTACTGCTGTTGCAAAGCCCACGCCTCTGTGAACGCAGCAACCTTCGCGCGGCAGCAGCGGCCGTCAGTGGTGCCGACATTGATGCTGCTGGCGGAGAAACGCTAAAAAGGCATCTGTTCTCTGGCTCTTTCCATCATTACCCACCAAAGCACAAGTTCCCTGCACCCCGAGACGGATGGCCAGGGGCCCCTCAAGAGTTGAGAGGCCTGTGCAAAGATCTTCAGTGCCTCGGCACTCCCACTTGTTACTTGCATTTATCTGCGCGAAATTAACATTTGATAGCCTCCCTATCCTCAGCAACAGCAGCGCGGCACACACACCGTGCTGCATGCAGTCCCGCACAGAGGCCACGCGGCAGAGCACCGGGTGTAGCAGGGGTGGAGCGCGTGGTGGCATGACTACCCAAAGTCGCATTGGAATCTTCTGTGGGGATTTTGGTGCATCTTTGCGAAGGAAAAGAAGAGCTTCTGAGCTACAGACAAGCGGCCAGCCTCTTGCAACCAACGACGGCAGCTGGGCAACTGCAGTGGTAGAACTGGTGAACGGAGGACGGCGCGTTCTCCACTGCCTTATATTGAAACTACGCTTGCATATTTTCGATCGGACTCCCCCCTGCCCCCAAACAGCGGCAGCAGACGCCAGCGGAGCCGCAGCCTGCCACACAGTTGCGGACAGGAGATTCAAGCTGTGAAGCGCGCCCGGTACACTCTGTAGCAGGAGAGCAGCACCCTTTGTGGCTGTTGCTGCTGCGGCTCTTGCTGCGCGACCTCGCAGCAAGAGCCGCACTTTGGCAGCGGCTGTGCAGCAAACAAGCTCTGTTCGCGTGCATGACATCGAAGCAGCAGCGAAGATGTCTGGCTCAAGCGTCAGGGTGTATCTGGATATCAGCATTGGCAGCCAACCCTGTGGCCGCCTTGTTTTCCGCCTTTTCACGGATATAACGCCGAAGGCAGCAGAAAATTTCAGGGGCCTTGCCACCGGTATACGCCTATATATCATCATCACTCTGACCCTATGTTTTGCCGATTGCGATCTCTCACCTAATTTTGGCCTATTCTCTCTTATTGTGTCGTACGTGGCTCTGCCCGCCTGTCTCTGTGTGTGCGCACATGGACGCGTATGTCTGTGGTGCTCGGATATTGGCTTGGGGGGTCTCTGCATGTGTGTCTGCATGCCCTGTGTGGGCATGCTGATGGTTCTTTCAAGCCATCCACGCCTTAAGCGCCTTGCCACTCGCCGCTCAGTTTTCCATGTCCATCTGTCTACATGCGCGTAGTATGTGTATATGTGCCTCGCGTCTATGATTACGCATGCATGCACTGTTGTGCCTTTTCTCCCTCCTCCGCCTTGCGGTAAACTGCGCATTCCCCCTCCCTACTACACCACGGGAAGGGGAGGGGGGAAGAATACGCAGTTGTGGCTCTAAGTCTTCTTTTCTCTCCATTCTCGGTGTGCCTATGTAGGGGTTACTGCTGTTGAAGGTGTGCAGCAAGAACTTTCGCTGCTCGCCTGTCTTGTAGCGGTTCTTTGGGCAGCAACCCGCACAGTTGCTGCTAGCGGGCTCGCACACATATTCATGGTATCGTGTGGTGTGATGGCTCCAAAAAGGCATTTCGCAAGCACAGCGATCTCTGTATTTTTTGTCTCGGGCTATTTGTGCGAACGGTTCTCCGCTACGCACACGTTTGCTTGCACCTACGCGTCTGACTGCTGTCTATGAGTACACCTCGCATGTCTCGTATCTAACATCACGACGCGCATGGGTCAAGAGGATAGTCTTCTACCTGTGCGCCTCGCTGTATTGGGTAGTGCAATGCGCATGTCACTTGATGACGTGGCTGGAAATGGAACCTTCCTGCCCACGCCTCCGTTTCTCAGTTCGTCCTTCGTGTCGTTTGGTCGTTTGTCTTGACGAGAGTGTGCTCTTGCCGCCGTGGTTTGCTACCTATGGCTCTCTTAGCGTATATATATGTATGTGTGGCTTTTGTTTGTTTATGTGCTTCAGGCGAGTATGGTATCAGCAAGGCTTCGGGGAAGCCTCTCAGCTACGCAGGCTGCCGCTTCTTTCGATCTGTTCCCGGCCTTTTGCTGCAAAGCGGCGACTTTGTGCATAATGATGGATCCGGAGGTGAAAGCATTTGGGGTGGATGCTTTAACGATGAAAATTTTGCGAGGAGACACGCGCAAGCAGGTACACCGGGACCCCTTGGGGATCTTGGATGCGCAAGCCAAAACGTTTTCTCGCTAAGCTTCTTTTGTCATGGAGAGAGTCTTTCGGCACTCTAGGTCTAGCATTTGATTGAGAACGCTGTCTGTCATGTACGGGTGTACTCTTGCGTGCATGCGGCACCGATGTGCCTCTCTCGCTTTTTCTCGCATGAGGTGCTCGTGCAGATGTCTCGCTGTGTCTGCAGCAGGGATGTTGACGTGCGTCAATGGGCATCCATCCATTAGGGTGCACATGAGAATTTGCAGCTTTCCATGGAAATAAGCAGCAATGCGTGACTCTGTATCCCCATACATCCCCCTCTGCGTTTTTTTCACACTCTCTCTCTACATATGTATATGTCTATGTACATCCATGGTCTGGGGGTGTTTCTCTCGGTCCGTCTGTGTATGCTGCGTTTCGTGTGAATGCCTTCTGCTCGTGCTTAGGGTGCCTCAGCATGGCGAACAACGGGCGAAACACAAATGCTTCACAGTTCTTTATTACGCTGAAAAAGGCCCCACAGTTTGATGGACGCCATGAAGTCATCGGACAGTTAGTGGAGGGGATCGAGGTTCTTAGGGCAATGCAGCTGGTTCCGCTGCATTCTGCCTCACAAACGCCACGAGTTGATATCATCATCACAGGTGGGCAAGCCCTCTAAAGTGCTGCATGCGCTTTTCGCTCGCTGTTGCGCAATTTCTGGAGGCTACGGCTTCTCGCCTCCTGACGCTGTAAGGCCTCTTCTTCTGCTGCCGCTTTTCTGCCTCTGTGGGTATTCCCACCGACTCCCTCTCGCATTCCGTCGCCGCAGCGCTGGTGGTCCTCAGAAGTTCACCTATAGGCCTCTCCTGCCTTCGCGCCGCTTATTAGGGGCTGCCTTGGCTGCTCGTGGTGTATTCGCTTTCTTCGCGGGATGTATAAGCGTACCGGGTTGAGCTGCGCCTTCATGCGTGTGCGAAGGTGCGCACTGTTTTCTCTTCTGCTCGTTTTCATGTATATATATGTAGATATATATATTCATGCATGTAAGACGCGTAGAAAGGGGGCCCTGTGTGTGTTGGTGGAATCGACAAAGCTGTGCCGACTGTCACTTTGCCATGAGGTGTATGTCCTGCTGTTTTTTTTTGTCGTGTCGAAGGATGCGGGCAGTTGGCCTCTCCGGCGGCTCTGAGGAACGCCTCCATGGCGGGAGTTCGCTCTCAGTTGGAGCTGATGATGCATCGCTACGAGAAAGATCTGCTGAAGCAGGCGGAAGATTCCAGCAAACTTAAAGGCAAGACGCCGCGGATGCTGGTGCTAAGGCTGGGGCCGCTGTCTGTCTTGTGTGATGCTGCGCTGTGCTTGGGAGGGGTTTTCGTGTCTTGTACGTGCCACCAGTTGAGCCTTTTTGTGGATGACGTCTAATGTCGCATGCCTGCCAGTGTTGTTTCAGGAAGCGATGAGGAGTCTGTAAGCAGCAGCTCTGACAGCGAAGCAGAAGCCCCTTCGAAGAGAGACAAAAAAAGGCGACTAGAACGGAAGAGGGCACGTTTCCTGGAGAGCAGTACATACACTGCGCAGCAGGCCATGGAGGGGCTTCTGGCTGGTGGTACCCTTAAGGAGCGTCTACAGCCGGCAGCAGCAGGAGCAGCAGGAGCAGCAGCAGGAGGAGACGCCCCTGTGGCGGTTTATGGAGCAGAAAGCAGTAGCAGCGAAGACGAGGGCACGCAGGACCAAGCAGTGGCAGAAGCTGCAGCAGTCGATCCCCTTGGGAAGCTACTGATGGAATTCGACGAAGACTCAGACGGACAGTCGGATGGAGAAAGCGCATCCGAAACTGCTGCAGGGGGCAGCAGGGCCAGTAGTAGCGGCAGTGGCAAGGCTGCAGTGCGCGCTGCGCTGTTAGCAAGGAAGCAGAAGTTGTTAGCACTAAGGCTTCAGTTGAATCAGGGGAGGGCTCTCAACACCAAAGAAGTGCGTGAGCTCGGCTGTTTGCACACGGCGCCGTGTGATCCATGGCAAGCTTCCTGCGTAGCTCTTTGCGCTTGGCGCAGCTTTGTTGATAGCGCTTTTCATTTTCTCTCCACCCGCTGTGTGTGTTGACGTGGCTACTGCCTACCTTTGATCCTCCTGCGGCTGTAGGTTATTGAAGAAAAGAGGCAGTGGGAGACTCCTGCAGCGGCAGCAGCGGCAGCCGCTGCGAATGCCCGCGATGCATACAAGCGGCTGCAAGAGGCACCAATGTATCAGCTCTACAAGAAAGACGATGAAGCCTCAGGAGACAGCGGAGGAGCAGCCGCTGGCAGCTCCCTAGCCATGGGGTCTAGAACAGCAGCACCAGCAGCGTCCAGTGAAGACGAGGAGGGGCCTCAAAGCGGGCGCAAAGGGAAGGGTCGGAGGCGCAACATCTTGGATGAGGCTCTTGCTATATCCGAGGATTCCCAGCGGACGCAGAAGAAAAAGTCGAAGTCTACTTTCGGCTGGAACGTGTTCAACGAAGATGCACTTTACAGGGCACACAAGAAGAGGTACGACGGTGGCTGCGGATGGATTGGCTGCGAAATGAAAAGCTTTTGCGCATTTCGGTGGACTATCTTGTGTGCTCTGATGTTCATACTGCGATGTCGCCGCGCTGCTGCTCTGCACACACACTGCTCTGGCGGAGATGCTTTCGCCGCGCGACTAGCGATGCGAACGAAGGCTCCTGTCTCGCTGCCTGTTCTGCCCCTCATGATTTTTCTGCGGTGTGGCTTCCTTTTGAAGCCTTCGCACCAACCAGACACGCCTAAGCCTGCACGTGTTTTCGCTTGCTTCGTGCGTCCCCGCAGGCTGGCCGAAGTGCCTCTGCGAGCTGAAGAGTATCGCCAGCAGAAAGAAGCTCTGGGGGAATACTTCTTTGATCCTAACGCTGCTCTCGCTCACCCCGAGCACAAAGTAAGGGCCCTCCTGCATTAGCGGCACAGTGCTCCCTCCTGCGGCACCGTTTTCGTGGTTGTCTCTTTGTAAGGCGGTATTGCTGATTAGCCCGTCCTGCCCGTGGATAGGCCTTTCCCGCCTCCCTAGTTCTGTTTCGTCCGCGGCTCATTTCTGCACAGTTACTCTACCTGTCACGCGACATCTCTCCCCTTCCCCCTATCTGCTGGCTGTACGCCTTGCCGTTCGATTCTGCAGCCTTCAAGCGCAGCGCTGGAGCGCTTGGCTACCTCTGTGACCAACACGCAAAAACGTCGGGGCCTCTTCTCCCGCCGCCGTATCTTCAACGAGGATGCTGACGTCAGCTACATCAATGAGAGAAACAGAATATACAACAACAAACTGGAACGGAGCTTCGATACAAGGGAAATCAAACAGAACTTCGAACGAGGCACTGCTCTCTGAGCCGCTCACTCAGCCGAGAAGGGGTCGACGTGCTGAATGGACAAAGCTGTTGTGTCCAGCGAGCTTCGCTAGAGTTTCGCTTCTCAGTATATGTCGCAGTCAGTACCTCCTCGGATTGACCTCTCTTCAGTTTTTTTCTGCCTCACAATCCTCAGAAGCGTCTGTCTCCCCGTTCTACCTTGTGCTGCTTGCTGTGTACGCTCACTTGATTCTAATTGTGTTTTGCTTGACGCTTATTCTATAATTTGGGTTCTGTGGGCCCTTCTCTAATCTTCGTCCTGTTTTCCATTCTTTTCTCTTGTCGAAAAAATAGTGATAATAGCAGCACAAGCGACAGCGTTTTGTTGCTGCGGCTTCTGTAGGGGATCTAGCTGCACGAGAGGATTGGCTGCTTTCGACAGAGTATCCAATGCCTCCGTGCCTGGTCCTAATGTGCTGGCTTGCGCATTGTTGGGGTGTGTCTTAACTCACAATGCGAAAATTGAATATCCTACTTGCGATCCTGGAGGCTGTGGTGAATGCTCAAGAAGCGAGCTTTTACTTTAGGAATTACGGGGCGGAAGAACTGAAGGATTGTTGGTTTAGGGCTTGACATTTACGGCTTGTTCTTTTTGCTGATGCTCTGAAGTGGCGCGCACGAATGGAGCTGCTTATCAGAACGGCTTAGATATAGAGCCACCCCCTCTGCCCTCCCGCACAGCTTCAAGGCCATCGGTTATGGGCTTATCGACAAAGCCACGGTATTACACGGACAATCCACGAAGGAACTCGAGGAATTGTACATCATGGCGGCACTCCGGAGTTTGTAGGGAGGCGCAACTCCAGATTCAATATAACTTGATAGAAAGTTTGAGTGTTTGGGTTACTAAGAGGTCGCTCCTTTTCCACCCGCGCCGCGCATAGTCCCCAACATGAGGCGAGAGGGTCAGCCACGGAGCCCGTCGGTGTCGTCCTCTACGCATGTCGAGCATTCACGGCTACATGTAAGTAGCATCTAGAGTTGACGCACCCAACGTTGCGTGTTGTTTCGAGCAAGTGGTTACATGCAAAATATTAGGGATACGGACAGACAAACCAATAGGTCAGTTCACGGCTAATTCTGACTAAAGTAGAACTGATGTGGCTTACACAGATACAAGACCGATTTGCTTGTTAAGCATATTACATAGCACGCTCATCTGTTCGTTCAGTATAGCCCAGAGCACGCCATTCGTCAGGGATTCATAGTACAGAACACGCTCATTCTTTTGTTAGGCATCTTGCAGAGGACGGTTTTAGCTTCGGCAGCTTACCGCAGAGCACGCTGATTCGTTTTGTTTAACTTTCCACGAATCGCACTCTCTCGTCTATTTAGCGTTGCACCCAGTACGCTCATTCGTTTGCGTAGCTTTCCACAGAGCACGGCCATTCGTGTGATTAGCATACTGCATGGCCCGCCGTATCGTTTGTTAAGCATATTACAGAGCATGTTTATATTCATTTGCCCAAATAACCGCATCTCACGCTCGTTTGTGGGTTTTGAATAGGTCAATCGTCTCAAGACAAGCAGCCTCTGCCAGGAACGCGGGAGCTGCTTCGTCGCCTGGCTCTCCCTGGGCTCCCCACTATGATCGAGCTTTCATTGCTACTATGGCCAATAGGCCTTCCTACCGTTCTGTTCCACCTTTGAAAGAGCCTCTTTTTTAAGGACAGTGCACTTCTGCTCTGTCTACCCGTTTGGCTTCTTCCAGTGGCCGCTTGTACTGCACTCGCCTGCGTTGCAAAGCAGTATCTTCCCAAGGCCTTCCACGAATCGTTGCCAGCAGGAAAAGCAGTCTGGCATAAAATCTGGCGCTGAGAAAGACCTGTAGATCCTAAGGAGGAGCACCAGAGCTTTTGTGCTGTGGCAGCGGTTGCAAGCACGGCAGCTGCGCCTCAAGGAGGACTGTGAGCCCAACGATGACAGCGAGAACCGCTTTCTGCCCATCTGCAGCCGCATCCACGGGCCATGCTCCTAACGATGCGTCTGCTGAAGATGTCGATTCTCACATTGTAGCAACAGTAGCAGGTAGAAGCGCAAATGGTTGCAACGGTACCGGCGCTGCGGCTATCTGCATCGGCGTGCACTTCTTAAGACATGCGGGTAAGGGTTAGTGCTGGATGTACGGCTTTCGCGGAAATTTTGCAGTCGTTTCTTTTGTGAGACAGCCTTAGGGCTCTCCAGTGGTTGTCGTCGACGTAAACTCGGGTTTTTAGCCTGTCGCTGTGGGTGTTTCATGCCCCTGTATGTTGCCCGCTTGCTGGACTCACGGATCACCGATTAGCAGCACGGCGTAAAGCGCATCGCTTTTTCCTAGAATGCGATTTGCTGCCTCTTACGGTAGCCGTCCCCCTTTGCGGGACGGGCTGTGCTGGAGGTGCTCTTGGAACTGCCTGGCCTCCAGGAGCCTTCGAGCCATACAGAAACGGCAGTAGCGAAAAACAGCGTGAAATGGTTGGCGCTTGGCGTATGTACAGAAGTGTGTGCTGCTGCCCCTGCTGCTTCTTTTTGTTTCAGAAGGCACTCACAATGTTGCAGCTCGAGAAAAGTAAGCGCTCAGCGCGAAGGCCTTTCTTCGGGGTGTTCCCATAGGGATGCATCTTTCTTATGGTGTTTTTTATTGCTGCCACGCTTGGCGGTTCCCCAGCCTTGGGAGCTGCTGCTGTACTACTAGCATCCCTGATTCGGGTGTAGCGGCATATAGGATCGGCTAAGAATTCGTAGGAAGGGATTGATGGCTGTTCGACACGCTTTTCCTCCTGTTTCTGCTGAAACTTTGTGTTGTGTGGCTGCAGGCCAGAAGGGCGCAGCTGCGACTGGGTATATGGGCAGGCACAGCACTTTGATGCGGACTTGTCGCCTGCGGGTTTGCTGCAAGCGCGTGCAGCGGGTGCCTGCATGCCCGATGCGTTGCGTCTCGCTCTGCAGCAGCAGCAGCAGCAGCAGCAGCACCAAGTTGATGATGGGGAGTGCAAGCTTTGCTGCTGTTGCTTTCCGAGGGTTGCGGTGTATACGAGTTCGCTTCGACGGACCATTCGCACGGCGTACGAGGCTCTTCGCGTTGCGCTGGCAGCGCCTTCCGGGGAGGGAGCAGCAGCCTCAGGCTCAGAAGTCGCTGCAAGAGGTCCCCTGAAGGTGCCAGTTGTTGCGCTGGAAGAGACTCGGGAGTGGGCTGGGGGAGGTCACTGTTGTGACGGCAGGCATCCGTAAGCGATACTGCTGGCTGTGCAGTGCCAGCGGCGAGGGAAGGGGGGTATATGGAATGGAGGAGGAGAGGACTGACTGCACGAGCGAGGAAGGATGCATGCAAACGTTCATCAAAAGCAGTGCGAAAGGAAAGCCTGGTAGAGCAACGGCATGCATGTGGCTTGTGGTTTCTATTCAGGTTGAAGGAGCAGAGTGTATGGGCTTCTAATCTTTTTGAACACATATCATTCGAACCGCATATGGAGGGTTAGGCCATGCGATGTTACTGTTCCGAAATCTTGGTGCTGCATCTCCTTCTGTTTGACTCTTTTCATCTCTATCGATCTTGCACGGTCTCTCACTTTCCCTCTATCACAGGCGTTTCAGGAGCTGGTTCCCCCTCGTCGAACTTGCACTCTAGGCTGCCGTTGACAAGTTCCGCGTCCTCTGGGTGCTGCTGTAGCTACTGCGGTTTGTGCGCTTGTGACGCCATTAGCAAATCGCCGCTTCTAACCTTGTGCATGTGCGAATCAGCTGATCCTCTCCCCCACACCATGCCCAGGGAGCCGCGCGAGGCAGTAGAAGGCCGCTGTCTCCTCTTTTTGGAGCGTCTTCATAGTCTAGTCGCAAGAGAAGCTGCATCTGCAGCGGCTCCCAGTGCAGAAGGCTTGTCCGCAAGCTCGTGCCATCGCTGCAGCAACCTGCGCACCAACGGCTTGCGGGAAATGCAGAATGGCAGTCCCAGTTGCAAGCGGAACGAAGGCAACAGCCCCCTGACGATGAACGTCGAAGTTTTCTGTGTTTCCCATAGCGCCTGGCTAAGAACGTGCTTTGCATTGTTATCTTTATATGCTCCGGAAAAGCGCGGGCTGCAGAACTGCGAGTGGCGGTCTATCAGGATCTCTCTGGGAGCTCTTTCGGAACTTCTCCCCCATCTGAAGCGCAGGGTAGGGCTGGCGGAGGAAGAGCTACGTATAGATAGGGAAGGAAGGGCCTGCTGCAGATACGCGCAGATGCATTATTTGTGCGTGCACCTAGATGTTCACACTTTAACTATACAGAACGCGTGCAGAAAGAGCGGCCAGCAACGGGTACCTCCAAGGAAAGGGAAGGAACGTCATGAAACAGAGATGTGCGCACTTTTGAATCCAACCACCATCGTGTTGTGAACCAAACGGGATTAATGCCTTTCTGTCAGTACCTCCTACGCACAGCCTCTCTGCGCCTCCTTTGTTCCACGCAGTCTGCAAGGCCTCGTGAGATTTCGCCTTTTACTGCGCTACCCTTCGAAGCCGCCGCGAGCACCGTTGGACTCCCGACTGGCTCTGGAGACTTTCTAAAAGTGGCAAGGAGAGCAGCCGATAACCACTGGACTGTAGGCACACTGTCAGAGCTGCTGAACCTGCGGGCTCTGCAGCCGCTTACCATTGTAGTGTATCCCCAGTGGGGCCCCTCGGGGGTTGTGCCGGAGAAGGCGGAGCTTCTTCATGCAGCCATCGAACGCATCAAGGAATGGATACTACGTCAGCCTGTTTGCACTTCTCACGGACTCCCCCCGCAGATGCAACAGCGCGCGCAGCACCAGCAGATAGAATTCGCGCCTCCAGAATTGCAGGCAAGGCGCATGCTAACTGACGGGACTATGTGCATTCGCCGTTTGATCAAACTACAGGTCTGCTGCTGTTGCGGCTACTTCGGTGTCTTTCTGATCTTTTTCCTGCCTGTCCCTGGCTTATGTTGCCATGTATTTTCCTTGTTGTCTCCAAGCCTCTCTCGCCATCGTTTTAGTGACCCCTGCCGTTTGTGCGGGGAATGCCGCAGCAGCATTTCAAGCCCTGGACGTTTGCCGCTGCAACGCACTTGAGTCACTGCTGCATTCTATTTTCGCCGAGATGCATCGATCCATTTGCTGCATGTCTTCACTGCTTCACTCGCATCCATTGGTTGTGCCCCCACATATCTCTCCGTTCATCACTTGCACTAGTTTTGAGCGTCTTCATGGCTTGTGCAGCTCTCTAAGTTTGTTCGTGGTGTGCTCCACAAAAAAGCTTCACGAAATGGCCATTCTCCCGTTCGACATGCGCGTGTCACGTACTTTTTTTCCAATCTCATTCCTCGACTTCGGCTCTCTTGAGCACGCCTCCCCTGCTTCACTATTAGGCGTTTGCTTCTATCCGTAACCATGTCCGTCTTGTATTCTTCCACATGCGGGGTCCTGAACATGCGGCTTTGTCTGTGCGCCTGCCGCGAGGCTCATTGCAGTGTGCGAAAGACGCAATGTAAATAATGTGATGCATATGTTATCTGGAGTCGTGCATTTGAGCGGGGATGATGTTTGCTCTTCTTACTGCGTCTGCTGCAGTCAGGTGAACCGCCTTTAGAAATCGTCGAGAAGGAGAGGATCCACAGGGAAAACTGCCTGCTTCTGTGCCTCCTTCCCCTTTTAACAAACTCTGAACGTAAGTGACAGCATTGCCCTTGACGCCTTGGACTTTGGGATTGGGGCCTAGGGGTTTATATGAAATTGAGCTTTGGAACTGTCTGCGGCTTGGCATATAGGGTGCCATCTGAGAGCCTTATACGTCTGATATACGTCTGCTGCTTCCCGTGGGGTCTTCTGGACGTTTGGTTTGCAGAGACCGAAGCTGAAGTGTCGCTTTTAAGTAGCAGTTTGCTACCGACGCAAGCCGGAGCGGAGTCATGTATCAGGCTGGATGTACTCTCGCTTTCGTAGCGCTCTCGCCCTCTATTCGGTGTCTGGCGCATTATACCTCTGCATCCAGTTGCTTCTGCTTCGGGATGCTGGATTTTATCCGTTACTTCGTTACCACGCCTGTGTGACTCCCCTAGTTTTTGGTGAAAATCCCTCGGCTTGGTTTTCTGTGCTCTTACGCCTTTTTGAGGTCCCCTGGCTCGAACACGCCCCCTCCGCCTCATCGTCTCCCTCGCCATTTTTTTCTTTCACGTACCTTGCTTTTGCCTCCTTCACCATGTTTTTTAGGCGCTTTCTCGGATGCCCTGAGGCACCTTCCGCAAAATACTGTACTCGTTTCTTCGTCTGTCTCGACGTCTCTCGCCTCCGCGGATGCACCGCGTTTGCTCCGTACATGCCACCTTGTTCCGTTCCCGTGTGTTTCTATTAGTTCTGCTGCCGCGAATTCCTTGAGAATCTGCCCGTTATGCTTTCCTCAGAATTTCTTCCAAGCCTCTACAGCACTTCGGCTTGTAATTTCTCTCGAATTGTTTTATGGTATATTTGTGGCAGCACAGCAGTCGCTGTCTTTCACCGCAACAGAACATTCAGTCAGCAGACCGCCGTTCTGGCGGTCTGAATCCCATGACACATCAGTGTCCTTACACCTATACGCACACTCAGCAAGAACACACACATCAAGCCAGATATATGCACATTTTACATACCTGCCTGCGCACATATGTAGATGAACATACACCCACACCCACAGAGTGCCTTAAAAAGAATATATTTAGAAGCAAAAGGAAGTGGATATAGGTATATTAGTGGGACTTGGCATACGTATATATTCTTTACACTTCGTAGACAAAAATCGGAATGGAATTATCTCAGGCATGTAGGTATACATACACGCACTCATAAGACAAAGATACTCCTGGCTATCCATTGCCATCCTCGTTATTCAGCGGTGCGGCCAAAAATGAGCAAATGCCACCGATGCGCCTATCGCTGGTGTCGTACAGTTGTACCTAGTTGGGCCTTCTTTCGCTCCATCTACGTAACTTGCTGCGCACGCAGTTTGTACATGTGCCTCTGCATGACTCCGTGCATTTTCACATGATGGTACAGAGGTTGCTCTAAATGCATAGAAAGAATATAGATTTTAAAAAAAAAAAACAGATATTGTCTACAATCTGTACAATCGTATGTCCATGTGAGCTCTTATTGGAGTGGCCAACTCCTGTCTGGCCTTTGCGAAACAAAACAGTGCTTCGGCTGTCTGATGCACTGGCTTTGCTGGTGCTCTTGTTCAGGGTCTGCTGTCACCAAGCAGAACGACCAGTGCGAGCACCACACAGGAGGAAGATGTATCATAGCCTGTAATCCTAACCCATTTTGCCGTTCTAACGGCGTGCAGCAGCCTTTGCCGGCTGCATTTCTTGTAGTCCCTGCTGCGTTCCTGGGGTTCTCATACGGCTTGTTCTTTTACGGCTTCTGTCGTTGTCGCCGAGAACACCATAAATTTCACCTCATCAAGAGCCTTTACGGAGGGTTGTCCATCCTCCGGTGCGCCGTATCATGTTGGGACCCCCTAGTTTGCTGCTGCTACTGCTCTTCCCAATACTTCTGTTACTCATGCTTCTGATGCTGCTGCCTTTAACGGTTGCTGCTGCATCCTGCAGTTGCGACTCGGCGGATAGTTGCTGCTGACCCCGCTGCTTGCGGTTGTTGTCGAGGTGCCTCATGGTCTCATCTGCTGGAACCAGAGAAGGACTGGGGAGCTGCGTTGGCGGTGCAGTCCCTCGCTCGTTGTAGCTGTCTTCGACGGCTTTGCTTTTTCCTGTGCTTCTAGTGCCGGTGCACTGCTTGCTGTAGGTGTCACTGCTGGCATCTGTGCGCTCCGTGGCTGGCGCAGCTGTCGCCTCTGGAGTTTCTCGGGCCCTCTTGTGATGGGGCAAGTCTCTGACTCGAGAGAGGGTGCTGACGCCAGCAGAGCCAACACTACCAGCAGCAGGTGACGCAGGCAGTGGCCGCTCGAGATGTTTTAGCTCCCGCTGCTGCTGAAGCCGCTGCTGCATGTTGGCCTTAATGGTCTGTCGCAACGTGGCTGCAAAGAATGCGTCGATATCCTCCTTTGTCACAGCCTTTCGTGTCCACTCCACTTGCTGCTGCGGTTCCTGCTGGTGCTGCTGAGGCTGCCGCGTTGATTGCTGCTGCACAACGTCTATGCAGGCCCCTGGCACGGACTTCACGAAAGATACAAGGCGTCTCAACAAAGGGTTGCTCTCCAGCAACAGTGCATCCCCAACAAGCCACAAAGCTCTCTGAGCCCTCGTAAGAGAGACATTCAACCGCCGCTCATCTGCTACGAACCCCAGTTGTCGCCTCTTGACCGAAGGTGTTTCTGTCACACATGCCCCTGTCCCACCCCCTGCTGCTTGTGTTGTGGAGGAACCTGAAGCGTCAGTGTGGGGCTTCTGAAGGGCGAAAATATCGAGTGGCAACTGTTGCTGTGCCCCCTCCGTGGTCCCCCACGCACCGCAAAGTGTATCCTCCTGCTGCTGAGGCGCTGCTTGGGGTGCTCCTGATCGCACAAACGAGACGATGATCACCGCCTTCTCTCTCCCTTGAAAGGCATCGACAGTGTCTGTTTCGGGAAGCGCGACGCCCCGGAGCTCGGGAGCTTCTTTCAGGAAGAACAGGATAAGTTCGGCCTGGGCCCTATATGGAGATATAATTCCAACGTCTGCAAGAGACAGGTGTTGCTCCTTCTGTTGCTGTTGGAAGACTTTGTGCAGCAGAATCACGAGCTGCGATACAAATAGGGCCTCTCCCCTGTTGCAATACGAGAATCGCGAACTTCCAGTGGCTGCTGTTGCATACTCGTCCTCTCGGCGTGGAGAACAGCACATGTGAAAGAAGCGTAGCGGAGCCCCCCTTAGTGGCGCGGGTAGGGGGCCTCTTTGGAGCACCGATTCGGAGGTCTCTAAGCGGCTTCCATAGAAGACTCGACCCTGCGTGGCGATCTCACAGCGACAGACGGATGGAATTCTTGCGCGTGCGCAGGTAACGCGCACGCGAAGAGACTGACACACTCACTGAAAGCGGCAGAAAAGCAACATGAGCTAGCAAGGCGCTTGAGAGAAGGGAGGAAGATTTGGCAGAATTCATTTGAAATGCGGGCGGAGAGGTTACAGCAAGGGAAACTGCGCAGAAGGAAGGGAGAGCAGACACAGAGGTGAAGAGTTGCGATGGTGGCGATCCTCGGGGGTAGTTAGCCGACTGGCTGCCTGCTCCTAAAAAGGAGCAGCACAGAACGGCAAGTGTGGGAAAGACAAGGGGGAGGGTATTGGGCGTGGTAGGCACAGAAAAAATGCATTTGAGAAGCAGCGATTGATTAAAAAAAACAGGGGCCGATGTTGCTTCGCACCGGAAACTCGACAATCAGCGGGTGCATTCGGTATTGCGTTGCCAAGAAGTAAAAGGCAACTTCTCGCTGGAGCTGCGTTGTCTGCGCTTGCTCGTCCTCTTCCCAAGCCTTTTGTTCCTGCTGCTGACAGCAAAGAGCGAGTCTCGCCATGAGGCTTCTTCCAAGGCCCTTGGCTTGCGCAGCAAAGGAGCAGATGAGGGGAGGGAGCTGCAGGGGATCGCCGAAGAGGAAAAGCCGATCACAGCGTAGCCTCAGAGGAATCAAGCTGGCAACTTCCGTGGCTTGCCCAGCTTCGTCGACAATAACACATGCAAAATGAAGGTCGCTGCTCAGGCTGCTGCTGCTAGGGCTGCTAATAAGCTTCTTTCCCCGACGCTGATCAATGATGTTGGTCCCCCCCTCCGGTGCACCTGCTGCTGCAAAATCGACGTCACTCTCATCTTCGCACAAAGGATCAAGGATCTCTGAACCACATCCCGACAGCGTCGAAAAGATTATATCTGCGGAAGCCACCAAATGCCGTCTTACAAGGCGGGGGAGAACCCCCAGTCGGAGTTGTAGACCTCTGCGCTTTCGGTGCAGCACGTCCCCCAGACGTCTCTTCTCTGCCAGTCGATTCTGAAGCTGCAAGCGCATTACCTCCGTTTTGGTCTGTGGGCTCTGGTGCGCCGGCTGTTGGGATCTCTCAGAAACAACTGACGAGGCTGCAAGGCTACTGTTCGAGGGGGAGGCATCCCCGCCAAGGAGGTTGCTTGCGCTGCTGTTGCCCGCTGCCGCTACGGCTGCAGCTTCTGCTGGCTGCCCCTCCTCCCTGAGCATGTGTGCAGCGGCTTGCAGGAACTGCTGCTGCTGCTGCTTATGCTGAGACAGGATCTGCTGCTGGTGCTGCTGCCGCTCCATTTCATCAATCTCCTGCTGCAGCTGCTGCCGCCGCTTTTGCAGCAACTCTATCTCCGACGCAAATTTCGACCGAAGTGCCGCCTCCTTCTGCTGCAGCAAAGAGGTGAAAGCGGCATCATAGCCAATGCACCGCACAGAGGGGCGTATTCGCTCGAGGTGGCCTAAAAACACAACACACACACACACACACACAATGGAAACCACTGTCTCCAGAGCCTATGCGCTGCTGCGCAGGGTGGGGAATTGCAGTGAGCACGTGGAAATGGAACGGCAGGTCACATGGAAGGCACATGTTAGCAAAGGAGTCTCTGGTATCCCCTCTTCCCTAACTGCTACTGCAAGTGTGTATGCATGCAAATATGTGTATCTAGCGTGAGCAGTTGGTTACATGATCCTAAAGAGTCCGCATGAGGGGTAATTTGATGTACCGATGCGCAGGCAGGCAGGTTGCACGATGTCTCCGGTTGACGCATCTAGCAGCCCGTCTCTCAGGATGCGCTCAGCTATTTCATCCACTGCTGCATTAGAGGGAGCGCACACGAGGAGTTTCTTGCTGCCTTCTGCTGTGGCTACCGCTCCCGCTGCTGCTGCTCCTGACGCTTTACTGTCTCGCGTGCTGCGCGGCGCGGCAGCAAACTGCCGATACTGCCGCCGCTGCCCGTAGACGGCAGCCAGCAACGCTAGGAGTGTTGTTGTCTTTCCAGTGCCTGGAGGGCCTTGCACAAGGCCTACTGGGGCAGAACCTCCGATCAGTCCAGAAACGGCTGCTGCCTGTGGTTAGAACCACACGCATGCGCGCACTCCAACCGCCACCACAACTGCACTACAGCAGGCGTCAGCGAATCCCCCAGCCCCCCCGTTCCCCCGCAAAGAACACAACGAAGGCCGTTGGCAGCAGCAGCACATGCCACGCCGGCTGTTTCTAGTTGCAGCTTGGACCGAGGCTTCTCGTCATAGCCGCTGCTGCTGCGCGCTACACCGCACAAGCTAGCCATGAGCTCCGTTCATACAAATGGATCTATCCAGCGAGGCATGCACCCTTGCCAATTCTTCACGCACTCACCTGCGACTTGTTGAGTCGGTAATTTGTGGCAACTCGCTGCATATGATGCTGCTGTAGGCGCAGCTGCAGAAGCAAATCGGCGGCACCTGGAACGGGTGCCGCAGCGTCTGCAGTGCACTTCAGAAGCTGCAGATTTGCGCTGCTGCCCTGCCTCTGCTGCCGTGAATGCGGTTGCTGCTGTGTCGTCACCCGAAAGGGGCTTAAAATACAGTCCACAAAAGGGCATGCGGCGCACTGGAAAAGCCCCATAACATCCCGAAGCACCGGCGTCAGGCTCTGCAGCACGAAGAGCCACCAGCTGCTATTGAGCTCTAAACGCAGCGAGTTTATCTGCAGGCGCAACAACGAAGGGGCATCCAAAATATGTATATATATATATATACATATATCCGGTGCTCCAGAGGGGCACTACAGCACCCCGTGTATTTATGTCAACCTAGAAGCACAGTGCAACAGCACCCGACGCCTCCCTGCCGCTGGTGGTGTGGGAACAAGACATCCGCTGCAGCCGCTTTGAGGGCAGCAAGCAAACCGCAAGGCTGCCTTGATGCTCGGCCAGACAAGGCTATTCCATGCTCCAAATGTGTTTGCCTAGAGACTCCTAAAGAAGCAGCCCGCGCAAAAATCTTAGGAGCAGCAAGAGGACTAGCACCAGCTTCGGAATATGTCTGACTCACTCGCTGCGGCTCCACCGCGATGGACACGGAGGCACCCAGCAGTAGCCGCACTGTCAGCCCCTCCTGCCGCTGCTCAGGGGTACTCCAGGCCTCTACAACGCCTGCAAGCACAGCAGACGCAACCTGTGAAAGCGCTGGTTGGCTGTAGAGCACTGCCTGAATCCGAAGCCTCAAGGCATCGCAATAGCAAGCGCACTTCTGATACAACAGACACCTCAAGGCTCCCGCCGCTGCGGCGGGATCGCAGCACAAGCAGAAAGAACAGCAGCCACCGCTCCGTACCAATCGTGTATCCGTTTCGAGGTCTGATTGTCCGCTTATTAATGACTCTGCCGCACCAACTACTCGCTTCTTCTGTCTCCTTCTGTTGTGCGGCAGATGCTGCCGTTGAAATGGGGGATGCTGGCGTTGGTACGACCTCTCCATTGTTGAAAAACGGTGTCTCGGGAATCAGCAGAAGCAGATCGCCAGGCCTCAAAACGGGGGTGTCTGTGGCTGCGCTTGAGGCTCCCATAGCGGCAGCACGGGCTGCCGCGTAGACATCCGCATATCTGCCCCCAGCAGCAGCAGTGGCAGAGGCAGCCATTGCAGCAGTCCCCACAGAGAAAGTTGCGGCAGTCCACTGCGATCCAGCGTTCCTCAAACGGTTCAAAACACACCGCTGACCCCTGAGTCTGTTCTGTCGCAGGCTGCAGCGCAAGGCGTAGAGGCACTCCAGGAGCAGCAGCGGGAGGCTCCCTCTGCAGCGCAGCAGCAAGAGCAGAGGAAGCAGCAAGGACCACAGAGAATACCGTTTCGACGGAATGCTACACGGAATATATTCCTTCCTCTAAGCCATGAAGGGAGGCCGTTGCAACCAAGGCCCCTCTTGCTTTTTTTGCAGTCATTCTAGGATACCACAGACAGCCGCGGTGCCAGAAAAAAAGCAAAGTTTTTAGCAACTTACTGCTGCAGCCGCTGCAGTGCGTCGAAGCGGAGGGGCAAGGGATGTGCTTTCGAGACGGCAGCAAGCGCGGCAACTTGTGGCTGCAAGCGCTTGCTGCTGTCTCTCGCTGCGGCGGCTGCTGAAGCCTCCGCCAGCGACATTTCCTGGGGAGAGGATGCAAGAGAGAAGATATCCGTCTCCAGCAGGCTCCAGAGAAATCGCAACAGAGCCACACGAGCCGTCTCATGCGCCTGTCTCTGTTGCTGCCGCCACGTTCGTCGGTCTCTCTGCAGAGTCTCCTGCACCTGTCGAATTTGTTGCTCTTGCTCCGAGGCTCTCCTGCCACCGTCTCTAGAAGCGCCAACAGTTCCAGCACAAGACGGGGAGAGCAGACGGACAGCTGGACGGCGATCCTCGGCTGGAAGCCCAATAGCAGCCACGGCTGCGCTTGCCCGCTGTTGGAATCGCGCACTGCTGCGCTGCTTTTCCGCGACTGCTCGTTCTGCTGCTTTTTCTGCGCCCTCTTCAGTCAGACGCCGACGCTTGGGCTTGGTAGCAGCAACGGAAAGAGCCGCATCTCCTCCTCCTTCTGGCGAACGAACGGCGGCAGCAGCCGCAGTTGCCGCTGCTGCCTCCCTGTAAGCTTCCCTGCGAATATCCAGGAGCTGTTTGCTGCGCTCGGATAGGGCTGTTGTGGCGCTGCAGACGCCCTCCCCGCCCGTCAAGTGTTTCTGCCTCCTTAGAACGGACTTGAACAGATTTTTGCTGTCGATGCGGCTGCGCGGAAGGAAGGCATGCCTCCCCCCGAGAGTCCCCACCTGCCGTGCCAGCATTCGCTGCGCTGCTGAGCGATACCACGACTTCTCCTCTCTCCATCGGATTCCACCCTTTCCTGCTGCTGAGGCTGCTGTTTCTGCTTCTCTCGCAGCTGCGTGCGTGCCAACCCGCTTCTTCTCGAGGCGCTGTTGTGACACGTTCACCGGAACGACGCTCCCTTCCCCTGAAGAATCACTGTCGCTTGACAGCAACACCACAGAGGCTCTGCGCGTGCTGCCCACTCCGGGCTCCGCCGCTGCGCTCGTTGCTTGCCCTGCAGCCTCTTCGTCGCCACTGCCACTGCTCCACAGAACCGCGTCAGCGGCAGCAGCAGCATCCCCAAAGTCTTCGTCTGTTGTACCGGATACGTCATGGTCTGCCCTCACCTCCTGCCGCTGCAGCTGTTGCTGCAGCTGTTGCTGTTGCTGCTGCTGCCGCAGCTCCTCCTCTATCCACTGGCTCTGAGTTGCGGCTGCTGTTTCTGCTGTACGCACAGCGTCGGCCTGTTGCATCTGCTGTTCAATCTCTTCTTCGTCGAAGAGAGAGAGGAAATCCGCGACTCCATCCACGTCCTCCAACGTGACGTGCCACGCCTCCTGGCTACCACTCTGTCGTGCCGGCGAACCCACGGCCTCTACTGCCGTCGCTGGACATGCCCCCTTCTTACCGCCAGGGAGGGGGTCTCTCGGCGCCGTTAAAAGCGTGCAGCTCTCGTCTGAATCAAGGTATTGCACCTCTACCACCATTTCTTTGCCTTCCACTTCCTGGGAACGCCCTGAAGCGACCCTGGATGCCCCTAAGTCTGTCTTGCAGTCGATCTCGCGCGTTTCTTCAGAGTCTTCCACGACTCCTTCTGCCGCATCTGCAGCAACAGCGGCTGCCGCCGTCGCCTCGGCGAGCTGTAGCTGAGCTGAGAGACACGCGTGAAGCCGAGGTGCCTGCTGCTCGGGCTCAGCGCAGAAGCTGTTTCTGCTACTTCCAGGGGTGCCGCTGTTGAGGCCATCGAAAAAAAAGTCGTATGGACGGCCCTTCGTGGCTGCTGCTCCCGCTGCGCCAACAAATCGGCGCAGCACCGCAGCAAGAGCCTCCCCAAGCCGCTGCCAGCGCTTCAACGCCTTTCGCCATTCGGCTCGGAGGGCCCTCGCGGAGCAGCTGCCGCAGCACACCTCGGCACTGGAGGCAGCCGTTCCGTCAGCAGCAGTCTCAGTAGAAGCCGCCGCTTCGGGAGACGCAGCACCAACAGGTGCAGATCCGGCAACACTGGGCGAAGGGCAAGGCCTCCGACTCTCAGGAGCAGTCGTCTCTCTGCGTGCATCGCTCATATCGTAGCCGCTTCTACTGCCGCTGGCGCTGCGCCCTCTGGTACGGCTGCAGCGGCATACGGCTCTTACGGGAGGGCAAGACAACACCTTCTGCACGAGCGCCAACGCCTCATTGCAGCAACACGCAAAATCGATAAACGCTTCTGGCCCCTCCTGCTGTTCCGATTGTGGCGTCACTTGCTGCTCCTGCTGCTGCTGCTGCAACTCCTGCTGCAGCACCACATGTTGGCTTGCCGAAGCGTCGCTCCTTGAGGGTGCTGCCGCTGTTTCTCCGGCGCCTCCTCCAGTCGGAAGAACGCGCCAAGGCCGTGCGTTCGGCAGCGCCTCCTCCGGGAGAGGCGCCGCCTCATAGACCCCAGGGTCCTTATCCAGCCACATTACGTAGTCGTCGTCGACTACAATCTGCTGCGCCTGTTGGTTCTCCGCTTGCTGCTCTTGCTGCTGCTCCCGTGTCTGTTTTCGCTGCTCCTCAGAACACTGAAGCTGCTGCAGCGGTGACGCCGCTGCTCTTGCTGCGTCTGCGCCCCCCCGCAAGGGCATGCCTTGCACGTCGCCTTCACAGAGGCCATCGCTGCTCGCAGCCTCACTGCTGTGTCTAAGCCTCTGCTTCAAAAGCAACAGGGCAGCTCCCACAGGAGTCGCAAGGCACTGCAGCAGGGATAGAGATAGGGGACGGGTGGCTTCGGCTCCCAAAAGCGGCAGCACCTCCGCATTTCCAGGCACGCTCAGCAGGAGCTTATACACCTCAGACACGTCGACCTCGGCGTTGACGCCGTTGCAGCCATCGCTGCTTCGCGATTCTCCTGGTCTACGCCTTGCTGCAGTCCCTCCTGCGTCTGCCGCTGCTTTCTCTGCGGAGGGCATGCAGACTATTCCCTCCCCAGCCCTCCTGTTGGTGCTGCTGCTGCAGCAAGACACCGCCACTGCGGCAGCAACCGAGGCGCAGCGGGGCCATCGTTCCTGCTGAATTTCTTCCTGTTCCTGCTGCTGCTGCTGCTGCTGCTGCTCTTGCTGCTGCTGCTGCTGCTGCTGCTCTTGCTGCTGCTGCTGCTGCATGTGCGTGCGCTCCCCTCGGCGAGTCGAGAGCTGCGGCCTCAGCACGTCGGGTGTCTCCTGCTGCCGCAGCACTGCGCAAACTGCTGGAGGCACCCGAGGCAGCAAAACAATGTACAGGGCATGCAGGGCTTTGAGAAGCTGGGAAAAAACGGCTAGATTCTCTTGCGAAGCGTTCACCATTAGACGGCCTCCCCCGTCTCCTCCTTCTCCCTCCTGCGGCTGTAGAGACGGCTCCACACAGCAGCTACTGCTGCCGCTGCTGCACACGAGGCTGTAGCAGGACGATGCGAGCGCTTTCAGCCAGAATTCTACGATCTGCAGCAGCTTTGTGGGGCCTTGTGGTGTCGCCTCGACCCCCTCTGTGCTGTCCTTACAGCCAGCAGCTCTCGCACCAGCAGCAGCTGTCGGACGCAGCTGCTGCAGCACCAGGTGCTGCTGCGTCAAAGCAATCGAATGGAGGGCGCCACAGCACACTGCACGAAGCGCTAGCAGACAGTGCGACTGGAGGGAGAGCAGCTGTGGTAGCAGCAGATCCGATTTCTGCTCGGTAAGTGCTGCAGCGGCCATCATACACTGCACGGGATCTGGCAAGAGGGGCAGCAGCAGACACAACGGCGACAATTGCATGTCTCCCCATGGGTGCTGCTGCTGCAGGAGCTGCTGAAGCACCTCGCGCTGCTGCCTTTCTTGCCCTTCCTTCGAGCACTGATGTGGCGGCATTTGCTGCAGCTGAAGAACGCCACTCTCCCCCTCCTGCTGTCGTAGGGGGTCCACAGGCAACAGCTGCACACCAAGCAGCGGCTCCTGCACACGCCGCTGCGCAGGTTGCTGCTCTGTGGGAGCTGCGTGCTGCTGCCGCATCAACTGCTGCTGCTGCATCAACTGCTGCTGCCCCATCAACTGCTGCTGCCGCATCAACTGCTGCTGCCCCATCAACTGCTGCTGCCGCATCAACTGCTGCTGCCCCATCAACTGCTGCAGTTCCTCCAGCAGCCGATACAGCCCCCTAGTCTGGTGTGAAAGCAACAACAAAGTCTCCTTGGATCCACCGTCTGGAGGCCAAGAGGGGGGCCGAGGGTGCCTCTTGGCGAGTGCCTGCTCGGCAGGCGTGAGTCTCGCTTGAAGCTCGTCTGGATGTGGAAGCAGCAGCTGCTGTAGCAGCTGAGACAGCGGCAGACGTTCCCCAAGGAAGCACAGCAAGACGTTCGCCGAGGTTTCTGTCCGAGCCGTTAGAAGGCGGCCAGCACCCAGCAGCAGCTGCGCCACGGTTGTCTCAAGAATCGTGTTGCTGCATCTGCTGTTGCTGTAGGTCCTGTTGCTGTAGATCCTGTTGCGACTCTCGGATTTCTGCTGCAGGTTCTGCGTTGCCTCTTGTCGCGCGTCTGCTGCTGCTGGGAGCGACTCCCGTAGGGCGTGAAGCGATCGCATAAGCCGCGAGAGATCGTACGCTATCCACTCCCTGTAGAGGAAAACCGCAGCCTCCTGATCTCTGCTGTGGCAGCAGAAGGAGCGCAGCAGCTCTTCTTGCGCGGAGAGGTAGCTGCAACAGCAGGCTGCACAGTGCAGCAGGAACCATTCCAGCTGCTCTAGCCACGAGCCCTCCACGTCTCTCGCAAACGCCAGCAAAAGGCGACGCACATAGACTTCTCGCGGGAGCTGGCCGCTGCTTTTTGCGCAGCTGTTTCTGGCACTCGCAGTGTGGGCGGAACTGCCGCATAGAAAGCACTCCACAGCTCTGTTCTGATAGGCGCTGTCCAGTCTCTCTAGAGCCGTGCATATCGCAGCGTCGACTGCGTCTGAGTCACTCAGGTCTGAAACGCAGAGCAATGCCTCCGGCAGCGAGGGTAGACCTTGAGGCGCTAGGGGAATCACGTCACCGTCGTGGGGTGCCCACATGGTGACGCTGCAGCAGCTTCTGCTGCTCAGGGGGAGCCTTCCCTCTGTTAACGCCTGTGCTTATTCTTCATGGGAAATGCGAATGTCGGTGGCCGCTGGATCGCACGGAGCTCGCTGGACGGAACGGAGCGAGCAACCTGCGCGCGAGACACCCCGCCTCGGACTTGAAAATACTGCAATAGGGGCGTTCGGAGGTTGGTTCCTTGGTAAAGGGGGAAAAATATGCATTTAGGAGTTGCGTAGTACTGCTGCCTCAAGACAGGACGCTGAACAATCGGTTGCCCGCTGGGATGCCTCTGTCGGCGGAGGGGCCCCTCCCTCAGTGGTTAGACACAAGGCTGCAGGGTGGTCTCCCCTGCCGATGACAAGGGGTAAGGAAGGGGAAGAAAAGGCAAATAAGTCCCTTTCGGGGAGAAACCGCTCATAAAATCATGCTGCGGTGTCTCAAGAAGAAACTGAACACATCTCCACCAAGCCGCGCTATTCGCATACGGGTGCTCTCGGGCGGCTCTGTGGCACTGATGCTCGCGTGGTTCATGCCTCCAGTGGAGCTGGAGAAGTGACGGAGACCGCTGCAGTTTCTATTATGCCTTTTTTCCTGCGAAAATGAAACCGTTCTGCGCCTCGCTCATGCACTGGAAGACTCTAAAAAGCTTGCCTATCGAGGGATCATGGTTTCGCCGCCTCTCCCAAGACCGTCTGCCTTCGCGGCAAATTGGCGCCTTCGGGGGTTCCAAACCTACCTGCGAATATTAGTGGCCTTCATATACACGTATACACGCGCACTGTGATCTTAGCTAGTGCCACGGGAGCCTGGAACACACAGCACAACCCCTGAAAGACATATTTTAGAGAAACAGGGGCAGTTTGACACAGGTCCTCCGAGATTATCGGACTGCATTCAAGGATGTGATACACGTTTTGCACATCCTCGTCTCTGGAAGGCCTCAGGAGAGCTGCCTTATGGGTGCTTTTAGTCCTGGCCCTTCCTTGCCGTCTCTCCAGTTCATCATCTCTTGATTGGCGGTTTCAGCTCCTCTCTCACGCTCGCTGTATGGGTGTTTGCTTTCCTTCCATTAATTGTCCTTCCCAGTGCATATCTCGCACCTCTCCCGGACTGCACCCCATAGCGAGTTTGCCTAATTAACTGTAACAACGTTAACGTACGTCGAAGTTTGCCCATGCATTTCTTTTCGCCTACTGTCCGTCCGAAGCAGCCTGCCTTTAGGTGTTGACTATCCCCTCTAACCAAAAAAGCACGACTTTTGGCGCTGTTGCTTGATCTCGAGCGTCTGCCAAAAAATAATACAGGCATAGGAGGGCGTGCCCTTGGGCTGCCTCTTCGTGTCGGATTTTCTTGATGCCATCGCTTGTATGGATTCCTTTCTCGTGCCGTTCGCGTTTCTAAAATTTCATGAGGCACTCAAGAGTGCGTTCCTCACCATGTCTTTGGTGCGGCACTGGATCCCAGCGGGACTAAAATGTATTTTTTTGGCGAAACAAAGCTAGCGCTTGACTGTCACCCTTGCTCGGCGTACTGCGAATTTCGGGGCAGTAATGAGAGATGAATCTACGATGGAGATGGCGCTCACTTCAGCATATGCAGCGGATAAATACCGTGTGGCCGTATGGCGGCTCCATGATGTGCTCCTATATGGGCAGCAAGTAAGCGTGCTGGGTGCCAAGAGGTTACAAAAGCTCTAACCCTTCTCCCCGCAATCAGTGCGATTCCAAGATCCCACGGAGTGGGAGCAGCATGGAAAAACTCCAATGATTATATTGTGGCGAAAACGGTGTCGTTGTTCTGTTTGGGGGTTCTGCCATAGGCATCACTTTGCAAGTTGCGTCCTCAAACCCTGGCACAGGTGTCCGTAGAGGGGCTAGTTCCCATGGGCTCTAGTGGACGTACATACACGGCTCAAATAGATAGTCCTTGTCATCGAAAGGCAAAGATTTTGAAAAGGAGAGAACCCAGAGAGCGGCAATAAGAGAGGAGAGGATGGACTGGGAAGAGTATGGCCCAGAAGGGCATCGAGGCACGCAAGAAGGTGCTAATTCAAAACGTTCTCGAACGAAATGCAAGCAAGACTCTCCTGCCAGAGGTTGTGACAAGCAGATGCATAGATATCTGTAGAGCCTGTTTCTTCGCGGTTCCCCGCTACACCGGTCGGCTTAAGAAGCCCTATAGCAACCTGTGTCATGATGGCACTGCCTCTTTCGGTTCATCATGCATCTTAGTTCCCCAGGAAATTGAGATTCAGTACTGCTGTCTTCTAGGGTTAGAGCGGTAAGTTGTGACGTGTAGGTGCTGCTTACTGCACTAGAAAGCCAGCGTTGTTTGCGTCGAATTGTGGGGATGGTCGAATCCACACATTCAACGGCTTTTTAGTCGATCACAGCGTGAAAGAATTTATTATATGCTTATGGGCGATGCAAATCTGTTGCATCTCTATGAATACACCCATAGAAATAAAAAAATATACGTGACTACATGCCTTGTCTAAATCCGTGACTGGTAGTGTGTCTATATACAGTGCCATAGCGACACAGCGTTACCACAAGAACCTTCTGCAGTTAGGGAGCATGTGTGTCCCGGCATACCAAACTGAGGGCCCTTCATAAGCGCACAAGCAATGGCGCATTACCGAGCAGCCACTGCTGCATGAGTTAAGGCTGCTCTGCGGCTCAGAAGAGCTTGCCGCACCTCCAGGCCGTTCAGACCCGAAGTGCTTTTACAAAAAACCAGAGTTCCCCCGTCACCAACCCTGATCCGTACCAATAATACACCCTCAACACGCGAAGGTAAGATTAGAGAGCGGCACCGTCAAGAAAAGCAAGGTGAGGAAGCCCTTCAGAGACAACCGCACGGTAAGCTGCGTAGACACCGCAGACAAGCAGCAGGGGTCACCTTTCTATGATGCGTCATACAGACACTGATTGCGCGCTGCACGCCAAACGATGTAGGGGGGGCACCGGATAGCCCCTAGAAAGCTACGCCGCAGCGTTGCAGGAAGCAGCAGCGACAACAAAAGCAGCGGAGGTACCTCCACCCCTAGCACCACTACCACCCCCTACATATCCAAACAACGGGGGAGCGCAGCCATGCGAATTCGCAGCACCATGCTTTCATTGCATCCGCACACAACTGGCAGCATCGGCACGAACGCACTTTCAAAACTGGGTAGCTCAGCGATCAGGTTGCCCAAGAGATACAGTTCCTGCGGAAGCCTCAAACACAGCGAAACTAAGCCGACAGGAAGGTGTGGCTGTGCCTCGAACTGCGAAGGGAGGCAATGCCTCAGAAGGGGAGGGTGGGCAGAGCTGAGAGCCTAAGGCCTGCTAGAAGCACCTCGAGTTTTGGGAAGTGATCGCCGATAGTTTTGACAGCTGCCTTCAGCACATCCCGTGCAGCATCTGCATCGGTGGCGAGTGTTTCTTCCCGCGTAGCGTCATCTTGAGGTCGACCCAAGAGATTGTCGAAGAGAGAGAAGGACGTCAAAGAGGGAAGGAGAGGCATTTCCTCGGGAGGTAGGGATCTGATTTTGTTGCATCCGAAGGAGATCCTGAGCACACCAACAGTGCATGGAAGCCGTGGGACGGCTCCGTCGTCACGATGCTGCTTTTCGCCATCGAAGAGAGGATTAACCGACCAGGCGGGAAACGTTCACGCCGCAGAAGATCCTGTCAAGGAAGGAGCGCTCGCTACGAGAGCAGCGCCATCAGGCAGCAGCAGCGCAGCAGCTGCATTGGCATTGACAGGACCTACGTGCTCACGGCATGGTGCCCGTTCAGAAGGCGGCGGAAGCCTTTAATGCTGCTAAGCCGGTTGTACTTGAGGTCGAAGATCTCCAAGCGAGGCAGGAGATTCACGAGAAGGCCAACATTTGCATCTCCATTCGCGCTGCTGCTGCTTCCGCCGCTGCAGGGGCGTAGGCTGCAGTCTTCTAGAGACTCAATTTTGTTGTAGTTTAGCCGGAGCTCCCTCAGGCCGAGCAGACACGGCGCCTGAGCGAATCGAGGCAAGCGTCTCAGCTCGTTTGCCGTTAAGCAGAGACTCCAAAGGCTTTCTGCTGCGAGCAGAGAAGGCTGCCAGGCCCCAAGAGACTCTAAAGCCGCCGCAGCAACGCTCCAGTCGAATTCTGTAAGTACATTGCGTGCCAGATCAAAATCCCACGGAGATCCTCCCGCCAGTTCCCCCGTTTCAACACTCCAGGCAACGAGAGCTCCTGGTGTTGCTGCTTTCGTGAGTGAAGGGTGGGCGCTGGAAGTGCCTCGCCGCTGCAGCAACTGTTGCATCACCATTTCCTTCAGCTGCTGTTGCGCGTCGCGAGTCGCCAAGACTGCGTCTCTTTCCACTGCTTCCGCCTTGCCGTCCTGCCCCTGAGTGTCGTGCTTCTGCCGCTTGAGATCTTGCTGCTGCTGATGCTTCTGGACGTAAAGTTCGCAAGACAGTAAGTCTTGCGAAGACGCCAGGTGCTGTTGCCTCCCCAGGAGCCTAATTCGCTGCAGCAGAGGGTCGAAGACGATCGTCAGCCTGCCCCGAATCGCATCTTCTCCTGTTGTTGGCGCTGCTGCTGCTTCTGCTGCTGCGCTTGCCGGCGCTGCCGCAGCACAGACTGGGGAGGTGCCTGAGAGATTCTCCATGGGGCCCCTGTCAGCTTCTCCTCTGCACCAAAAGAGGCCTAGACTGCAGACAATATGAGGCCAGATAAACGGAGGAGAGGCCTCAAGGCTTCCCGCCGGCAAGACTTGGCCTTGTGGCAGATGGCTGCTTCTCAGACACAACGAGCTGCAGCGAGGAGCTGCGGCTGTAGCCGCTCCCGCATGGATAAAATGCAAGTCTAACGAACCCCCAGATACTACTCCTTCGACAGGGGGGTCTAGATCGACGCAGTCTCACAGGGCACGCAAGCGCTGCGAGCGAGCAGGGGGCCCCTCTGGGTGGTCGCCATACCAGAAGCGCTGGGCTGCCTGTAGGGGGCCCCCCCTCCGAGGGTCCA